AGTCTGTGCACATACTTGTGTAGCTTATATAACATATTTACAGGCTGGACCTAATCACCCTCCCCAGCACAAACACATATACACACATGCTTCGCTGGCGTCATACAGTACCTCTAGTCCATGAAAGGATTTTTTTTTAGTGTCCATCCGAGGTCATAACAGAGAGCTGAACGAATGTTATCACAGCAGCTGAACTGTGAAAGTACAGTCTGTCATCAGCCAGTGGTGACACAAGTAGGTTTGTCAGATAGAAAAGCAGCAGGTGGAGCTACAGAGATAATGTGCAGCCCTCTTTTCGTCGCCATGCACCCGCTGGACAAACGTCCTCTAACAACGATGGAAAAACCACGGAGGAATTATACGCCATAAAAAGATAAATTTTACGTAAACTTTTCAACCCTGCAAAACCTCCCAGTGATTCCATTAATAACATTGCATGCTGCAATATGACGGACTGTTCAGACCCAGATCAGATAACTTTTATTTGAATTCTAGCCATGACGCCAAGATAGCAAATCTGTCAAGGGTGAATTATGGGAAAATGTGCATAAATAGATTGTGGAAGATATGTTAAATATTTCCATTTCATGTAATAATACAGCTATAAAAGCATGGTATCATGGGTTTGTACATATCAGTAAATACTGTACATCACATAACTGAAAAAGCTCCTATAAAATGTGAATAATAAAAGCTGTGCATAGCGTAATATTGTTTCTCCTTAGAAGCCTGTATTTGTTGTTTATCACTAATATACGACATTACGATAGAGAAATTAAAGTATTTAGGCTTGGTGCATTGCTTTCCAGTCGTCCATGAGTTTAACTACTGAGTATTTGGCACTTTATTGGCCATTTAAGTGCAACCCGCTGCAGTTGAACTTGGAGAATGACGAGGATCCTTTGAACGTTGTTATTTGAATGCAATTATTTTCGGTCCCAGTGAGGCTTTGTAGGGTGAGTCATGATGGTGGTATGATAAAATCTTTGTGGGTAGGGATGCCATTTGAGGGGAAACCCTGGATGATTCAGGGGCCCCAGAGCTGGACCAGGTCCCAGCCAGAGATCAGAGAGCCGTCACTGAGCTGTTGTCAGGTGGACAAAAATTTCTAGTCTATTACTAGGTACTCTTGGTAGTCTGCCTCATTTGAGGTGTAGGCGCAGGTTCAGCTGGTGAGTATACAGTCCTATAAAATGAATCACATGTAGGGCTGGGTATTAATGCTCTATAGTGAACGGACATAATTAAAGATTTGAATTGACTGAACGTTATCTTAAATTTTGCAAATCTAACATTTTTGGTGAAAATTTGCCAATGCACTATTTCATTTAATTTCTTGCCAAATAAATTAAGTACAAACTTGACAAGGAGTAAATTAGTTAAGTCTCAAAATATGGAAATACAATTGTACTCGAGTAAAGTAGTTATTTTCCATTTCTGCCTTCATTGCTTGCCAAGCTACCGTACTGTTGAATGTGGACTCAGTTTACTACGACAGCAGCCATTAGCTTGCAGCACACGTTTGTTGCATATCACACAGTCTATTATTGTGACTCTGGTCTAAAGCTTGTTGCATTTATTACGGCCATTGAACTGGATTGATATTGGATTACTGGACAGTCTGTGGCACTAGAATAAGCATTATGTATTGTCTGTGTCTTCCTGCTGAGTAACTCTATATGTAGTGAGAGTGGAGAGGCTGCGTTAGTCTCATTCCTAAACAGTGCTTTTATATCACACTGGCTCTCATCTTACCATGTAACCTTTTCTGAGTGGGGATTGCAGAGATTGCCCAACAGGGTACAGTTAAACCTTCCACTGCCCTCAGAACCAGACCCGGACTAATCAACCACCAACCTGCTCCTCTCCTCAGCACACCCTCAGTCATCTAAATATCTGAAATTTATCAGCCATTGATCATATGTATAACACAGTGTTTAAGGCCGCCCTTGTCAATATTTGTATATGAGCAATAGATCAAATGACCATATGTAATATGAAAGTTGTCACTTGTAGAGACACACCCAGAGAATTATCATCCAACGCCACAATACCCCTCAGCTCTACAGAGCATTTTAGCGTCTTTCAGCTCATTATTTTTGGTTTGACGGCCCACAACTTTACTGTTCTGATTCACCCTCACCGCTCTAATCAGCATTCAGCATCCATTTATTTTGAAGAACAAACGACAAAGTTAGCGACTAGTGAGATATTTTCCTCAGGAGGTGTTGAAGACCAAAACAGAGCTAAAAGAAAAGTGACTATTGGACCTAAAGGACTCCAAATGAATGCTAATGTTGCATCGGGAACACTAGATGTGTCAGTAGGCAACTGCTAACAAACATGTTTGCCATTACAACTTCATAAGCTGATAATATGTTGTTTTCATAGCTGGTTCCACGACCCCCAAGTGATGTTCAGGGGTTGTGGGGAGTAACACAAATGTTACAATGTCACAAAAAGTTTGTTTTATTATCATTAAACAGAAATATTTATATACTTACAATACTACAAAAAAGATTCAAATGTAAAACTAGCTTTCCTTTGAAAAAAGGCTAAGGAGAAGCCGATCCTGTGAAAATACAGCTTTAATTACTTTAACAAACTTTAACAATCATGTACTCCCTTTAACAGGGAGGAATACTACTTTAGGTTGAGGCTGGGTCCTACCGCAACTCCAATCCCAGTGTACAGGCTCAGCACTAATTAGTAAATGGGAGAACCCAATGTGAGAAGTTTCTTCTTTTGTCATAAAGACAGAAACAGTTACCTGGCAGATGTCACTTAAAAGCAGTTTTTAGTAAATCTAAATGGCAGAGTTTGTGGATAATGGCTAGTAACTGTGATTTTGTATTTGGAGAGAACAATTCTGCTTGTTTTAGACAAATTAAGTAGCCCTTTAAATCCCTGGATAGTAGTACGTTGGATTGGCAGTTCTGACTAACAAAGGCATCGTATTAATGTTTGCTGGATTTCCTGATCAATGATTTGTCCAATCAGTGATTAAATGTGTATTTCCACAGTATGTCCTGTACTTTGTCTGCACTTGCACAGTGTCTTCTTTCATTCTCACCTTATAGTAAATTGACTGGGGATATGAGTGTTAAACTTGACAGCTGATGAGCTGTCTGTACTGGGAACAGTGCAAAGGGACAGAGCGTAGGTCAGGTTTTTCCGGTGTTGACAGATGGGTGCCAGTATATAGGCGCCGGCGTTTTGTCACCCCGTCTACTCCAGATACCACTGTACTGAGAGGTGGAAAGGTTTGAGGTCAGTGTGCCCAGTCAGACACGTCTCAATAAGTGTCAATCGTTTGTATGTGTTCGTGAATATGAACTTATGTGTATCCATGTGCATATCTGTGTCAGTTCATCCTCTTAAGTTCTCAGCAGCAACACATGTGCAGTAGATTTCCTCTCGCACAATCCCCTTCTTCTGTGTATCAACAGTTCTTAGGTGTCAGTGGTATCACCTGTTTCCTGTTTTCTTCCGTTGTCTAGTCCCTCACGTTGCATGGACAGTCAGCCTATATTGGGAAGCTTGCAGGCTCTTTCCGACTCCAAGTCAAACCAGTGTTTTTCAAATTTCTATATCTTAACTTTCTCCTATATGTAACATTTTAAAGTGAAAAACCCTAAATGGGCTTTAAATACAACATTCAGCATGATTTTTTTTTTATAATAAAAAAATAAATTATGCAGCATCTAACAGAAAATGCTAAATAATGTGAAGAGCAACAATATTAACAAGAAACTGATAAGTACATATTTTCCTTTACAACAATGTGTAGTATTCATATTTACCCATAAACATTATACAACCAAAAGCTAACTTGGATACCAGCTCAAGCTGTGAATGCCGTGGTATGTAGCACTGGTCTATGTTGGGTATTTGTTTCTTTAAATAACTAAATAATAAGAACATAAAACAAAATAAAAAGATAATTTAGACATCACCTTAAATTAGATTTAGTTAACTAAACAAGTTTTGAGTGTAGGATTGGAGTTTAGTATGTAATAAAAGTTAAAGATCCCCTCCAGACATGTATTAAGACATAAACAAATAGTCTGCTTGGAACAATAACGTGTGTCTGATATGTTTCATTCACATAAAAGTTAAATTTCCATATTCAAATTATTAAACAGGCATATACTCCCTCTACCTCATTAAAAATGTTGTATGTTTTCATTTAAAGTGAGTCTCCTACTTCACTGTCCATTCTCAGTGGCTTCCAGTTTCTACATCACATTAGCAAAAGCTGTATACTGGACCAGGATTGACTTCCAAACTATTTGTGGTTTGTGATTTTTCAAAAATCATGCTCCTAAGTGAAATGTCCACTTTCAGCAGATGAAAACATCACACTGTAGGAAATAGAAGAAAGAGTGTGTGAAAAGGTCTGGACCCTTGGAATTTGTGGCAATTATGCAATGCTCTGCTGACACATCCTCTGGGTATAAACAAATCGGTTATGAGACCAGTGTGGCATTTGACGAGGTTCAGAAATACCCACAATGCTTGTGTCTTAAACAGAGGTCCAAGTGGTTAATAACGTTTTTACAGCCTTGCACACGCTCGCACCTGTCACCCCACTTCCTATTATGGCACAATGTAAAAACCATATAGTTCCACATAGAATCTGAAAACAAGATCCATGTTGAGCAAAATATACTGTATACTCATGCTACTACTACACTGGCTGAAACTTTGCAGGAGGTCTTAATGATCAGATACGGTGGTTTTCTGTTCTTTTTTATTGGCTGTACATTTTATTTGTTTGTCTTGCTTTTTACGGCGTCATATTTCAGTCCCAGATTCTTGGGATTCTGACACCTGACTGAAGGGCTTTTGAAGTGTCTCAAATGTCACATAGCGATCCTCTCCAGCATCTCCCCTTAACCCGCATCAATCCCCAACTGCACACCCGAGCCCCCAGCTCTTATCACTGGCCACTCAGTCCCTGACGTCCACAGGGGGCTGCACTTTAATGTGGAGGAAAGCCATTTGCTATTCTTAAAACTCCTCTCTGTGGCGCAGTGGTGAGGGAGAGATCTCTGTTCTCCCTCCACTTCTTTTCTTCTCCCTGTGGCTTTGTTTTGGTAGTATGGTTTTTGTTGCTGCTGCCACTGAGACTTCATGAATGTGACCTTATTAGTGGGTGAAAAGTTTTTGCTGTTTGTGAGGACATCTGCTGTAAATCAGTCATGAGCTCCAGCCTTGTCAACTCTTTGGCCAAAGTGTACGACCCAAACCCTCTTCATGGGCAGAAGCCCGGTGGCAGGAAGCTCTCACTTAATGGATCAGACAAGTCACCAGCTTCTTCATCTTCATCATCACCTTCCTCCCCCCATGATGCCGCCCTGCGCTGCGTGGAGAACCGGATGGACTCCCTGAGCTCTCAGATGGAGCGTTTGCTCAACATGCAGCAGACCGTCCTGACCCGGCTGGATGGCTTGTCCCAGGACGTCAGGGGAATGGGTCGGGATCTGGCCTCTTTGCGTGAAGAGGGCCACGGGGGGAGGCGTGGGTCTGGGTTTGAGGTGTGCAGGGAGTTGCGTGGGGCCGTGGAGAAGACCAGCGAGCGGATGGAGTGTCAGGGACGCAGGCTGGAAGGGGTGGAGAAGCTGGTGGAGGGCACCCAGCAGGTGATCAGCTTCATTGGGGAGGTGGTGAAGAGCTCCAGGCTGGTGGAGCTGCTGTTTAAACAGCCTGGAAATAAGGCTTTCAAGAAGGTGAGAGGTTTAACAGCATTACAGGGTTCTCCTGCAAAAAGTGGACCAGAACAACCTCAAAATCAAATGTTTTTTCATCTAGTTTTCTGTCTGTTCTCCAACACTTGAGTACTTTGAGGAAAGTTCTGTTACTGTGTAACTTAATGGCAACATAGTGAGAGGTCTAATTGCATTGTGATCATTGTGGCAGACACATTAAGTGCTGTCCGAGAGGTTGCAAATGACATTGGATGACTCTTGATGGATTATGTGACCTGTTGGCAGTGGCATTATAAATAGCTGGCTCTAAAAAAAGAAGATTTTAAAGATAAAATACAAACAGTGCAACTTCAAATGGGTCTTAACATGTTTTTTAAATTCTTTCTTAAGGCTGCTACTCATTCCTCTTACTTCTGATATGGCTCCTATTATTAGCTCTACTGTACTTCCACATGTTGTTCTCTGCAATGTTAAGTAATTTTCCTCTGTGTAGGGACTGTCTGAGGTGTAAATGATAAGAGTCAGACTGGTTATCTTATCAAAACCATGTCTGTATCAGCAGTGGGTAGGACTGCAGCTGCACAGCGTCAGTTTAGCACTCGCCTGGCCTGTTCTGAATAGCTGATATTATTACTGCATTGATTAATTAGATGGGCTCTTGCCGTTGCATGAAGCCACACATAGTCTGCATCACACTGTGCATGTTTGTTATTCTAGGATTGTAGCATAGCTTCTTTTGCCGAGTATCTGTGTAAGTTTGTGTGTGAGATGGAATATCTTACGTGCTTGAATTCTGCTGATTCACAAATGGGCAAACAGATTTATTACACCAGACAGTCTCTGTCAGACACATTAAATGGCTGTAGCAGTGGATCACCTGAATTTTTTTCTTCTGCCACTCTGTAAAAATATCAGTGTCACTGCGGGAAAGGGTGAATAAAACTGTTTCCTGTGTTGTGCGGCACGTCATCTGCTACAGATGATATGTGACCTTTCCTCTTTCTCCCGGAGAAGGCATCCGTCCCCCAGAACATCATACTTGAGTTACGAGGGCAACCATAGAAACACTAACAAACACTTTGGCTTGCTCTCTGGCTACTGTGCAAATGGAAACACATATATGACTACACTGTTCCCATCAGAAAGCTGACTCCTTGCTCCATAACCTTAGACTACTTTTGACCCCTTTTACAAGTAAAAAAAGAACTGTTGCAAATGTAAGAGTTTGTACTTTAAATTCTGGTTCAAGCCCATGCCTGTCACTGTGAGGATCCATTGTCTAATGCTTGTTTCTTCTTTCCACAACAAGGCAAAGGATGACAAGGATAAAGCAAAGCTGAGCCTGAAAGGCTTAAAGGCCCAGAAGAAGAGAAGACCTCAGGACACGTCAGGTAGGCTCAAACAGGAAATAACACACAACTTCCAATCCCCTGAGTTTATGCAGAAAGGTGCACGGCATCTCTGTTCTCCAATGAACTGCTGGAATAGATATGTACTATAACCAACCAATACTGGATTTTAAAACTGAAGTTTTATGATGATATATTTTACGTATATATAAACATAAACACATAAATGAAACTTAAACTCTTGATATTAATTAGTATTATTAGTTAAATACATACTGAGTGGGATATTTAATAGTGTAAAAATCGACTTGTTAGTGCTCTCTGGTGGACAAACTATACAACTGTGACCTCAAACCTCCTGCCGACACATACGTACCCCACTACACATAAGAAGGTAATATTGGGTGATACATTGGTCTGGCAAATATTGTTCTAGCTTTAATATGGACATCAGTGTGGCCTAAGTGCATACAATACACTCCCAACGTCTAGGGTCTGCATATGGCTTTGCTTTCTTCATTTTGTCTGGCTCAATTTTTGCTAACTTTACATTTGAGCATTCATTATGCTAACTTTATGTTAGCAATAATCTAAAATATAGCAGAATATAGGAATTTAAGCAAAATTTTAGAATCAAAAGTGTTGGACATTTGGAAAAGCAGGGGATCACCAAAGTCATTAAAATTTATCCTTTGGGCACCATGGATGAATGTACCAAACTGTATGACAATCCATTCAATAGCTGAGAAAGTTCACTATGGATCAAAGTGGTGGACAAACTGACTGACTGATATCGCCTTCCCTAGTTTGGTTAGAAATGTAATAGCCTCTTTGTTTGCTTTGTTTTTCCCATATCAGACACGTCCTCGCTGAATGAGCCTGTCCTGCAGGAACAGGTGGAAAAGCTCAACAGGCAGAACACCGAGCATTCCCATGGAAAAGCAGAGGCCAACAGTGAGAGGGGCGAGGACAGTGGAGGAAGAAGACAGGAGCCTGCCGAGCTGATCCTGGACGGACCACACAGCTCTGCCGCCCAGTCAGAGGAGAGGAAGAAGGCAACTAAGGAGAAAGAGGAGGAGGAGGGGGATTTCTTTGAGGACTCAGAGTCAGAAGAAGAGCAAAAGGCTGCAGATGTTAGTCTAGAACAAGCAGGAAAAGTGGAGGATGATGGGAAGAAAAAGCACAATGCAGAGGCAGAAGAGTCGTCAAAATTAGAAACAGCCTCAAGTGCAGATATCTGCAAGACCTCCCTCCTTCCACAGGAAAGGTATATCTCACAAATTACAAGACTGTGTGTCAGTACTGTGTTTACTTTTATTTCGTTTTGTACATTTTTGAAGAGAGTCAGTTAAGAGCTAATTCTTCATGAGAAGGAAACAAAAAATAAAACAAAACTGAATTAAATGAAATATTCAATGTTTCCTTTTATGTTTTATTAACTGTGTAGCTCTGAGGAAGTCGGCGATGTGGCCACATGCAGCAAGCGTCGTGTCACAGAAGAAGACCTGGTGACGGATGACCTCAAAAAAAGCAGAGTGGAAGACAGTAAGGTGGAAACTGCTGATGGACAGGTGGTGGAGGGGGGCGAGCCGCAGGCCTCTAAATCTGACGAAGCAAAGGCGGAAGAGGAGGGGAAGGTTGGAGAGTCAGCATTGAAGGAATTTATTATTGGTGAGACATTTCACTTTGACTTTGCATGAATGCATCAGAAACAATCTAAGAAAACTGAGCTGGAGTTCCCACTGAGAACACTGAGATCATGTTCTTGGTTAAAGAGAGGTTTTTGCAACTTGTTTTCATGTCTAACTTTCAATTTTGGTGGGAATCAGTTGTGGACATATGTTGCCAGAATGATGATTAGTGGCGATGTCTACTTTTATTTTGAAATTTAGACCTTGGCTTTGTCAAATCCTCTTATGTCACCATATAAACTTTTTATTGCTGTGGTTGAAAGAAAATAACTCATATTTGTATTACAAAATTAAATTTAAGTTCTGCTTTTTCTGCTTCCGTGCACACATTTTTATAACATTTACATACAACAGTTTTAGTCACAAAGACACATTTCAAAAACTGTCTAAACATAAGCCTGCAGTTCAGGCAAAACAGATTGTAACCATAAAAGATGACCTATCTTGGTTGCAAGCTGGTGACATTTGACTTTTTGTTCCTTAGACATTGAAGCAGATCCAGTGTCATAACACCGTGCCTGTTTAAGCGTCACTAACACGTCAGTCGGCACAGCTGGCAGAGCAGATAATGAGACATTGGCATGTTGCTATTTTGAACCACTTTGTCTCTGGGCCTGCGTCTCTGCCTCTGTCCCCGTTTCATACTGTCTGTTTTGCAAACTTTTTTTTCATTTTGTCTATATTTCTTTATGCTTTCCTCAGATTCAAGCCCTCCACCGTTAGCACCTTTCGACCACCGCATCGTGACTCCCAAACCCCATCAGATAGCCACCTATTACACAATCAACAGAGACGAGGTCCTGGGAGGGTGAGTGAAAAGAGAACCACAGAATAACCAGCCCATAACAGCTTTTTTTTATTTCACTCAGTTACAGCCACAGACAACTGAATGTATTGGCCCTCTGTAATGAAATAACAGAGGATCTCACACCCTGTGAGGGGACACCTAATAGTTTTTTCCAAGACCTTTTAATTGCCCCCTGAAGGGCAGATGATTGTGGGCCTCAGGGGGCAAAGTGGGTCTCTTTGATGTAATAGATCGGTGCTAAATCCTGCCTCTCGAACTGGAGATTACCCCTCAACACGCAAGCACATGTCTCAAATCTCTGACATAATGGCACAGTATCTAGATCTAATTGCTGTGTGAATGAAGAAGCTTATGATGATGACGTGTGTGTGTGTATAAGAAAGAGCTACGATTAATGGTTATTTTCATTATCAATTAAGTTACTTTACAATTAAAACAATCGATTATTGTTTGGTCTATGAACGTCAGAAAAAAAAATCAATTTGCAGAGTTCCCAAAATTACATGTTAATTTTTTTTGCTTTGTCCAAAATCCAAAGATATTCAATTTACAATGATATAAAACAGAGATAAGCAGAAAGTTCTTTGTTTGAGATTCTGGATCCAGCAATTATTGGGAATTTGACTATGGTAAAATACTTAAGCAATTATTCAAAAAAGTCTAAATTGTAATCATAATTTTCTGTGGATCGCTGAGCACTAAAATGAGTGTGTTTGCTTTTCTTTCATTAGGGGACGTTTTGGACAAGTCCACAAGTGCATGGAGAACTCGTCTGGTCTGATGCTGGCTGCCAAGATCATCAAAGCCAGGAGCCAGAAAGAGAAGGTGCAGTAAAGATCAGCCAATGAACGTTAAATATGAAACAGAATCCATGTTCAGCAACGGTATTGGGATGCCTGTTTCCCCAGACAGTCTAATGGATGGTTAATTTTATCATTGCTAAGCACCATTAAGGATTACATTTTAAAAATAGACACAGCTCAGCAGCCCAGAGGGCGTGGGCATGTGGCAATTTGTCAGCCTCATTGTGTCTTTCTTACTCTGGGTCATCTGAAAGAGATGTGAGAGAGGTCCTATGTCCGAGCATAGCTTTGTGGTTACATTATCATCTGAGATATTCAAAAATCTCGGAGCCGACAAAAAGCCCAGCAAACACACAGCCAAATCCTTGGCTGGCTCATGTTGCTATCTGTGATCATCAGTGACAAAAGACTGTGTTGGCAAACCTTGCCTGTCTGTCTGTGTGCAGGGCTCAACAATAAGGATTGCCCAACTGCCCAGGGCAAGTAAAATGCCACTTTGGGTGAATCTAGTAAATCAGGCAAGGGGTAAAAAATAATTAAACTCATAGTTTTTTCCAGAGCTGAAGATCGTAGTAGCTAACGTGTGAGCCATTTCGCTTCCTTCTCATTTCTGTTGAGAATTTGCACATGGGCAGTACCGATCAGGCACTCGATGAGGCACACGAGTGAAACTCCAACTATGTACTATGTCGCTAGTTAGAGAGCAAGGTGGGTCATTTTTCAAAGGCATGTCAAGTCTGAAAAACCTCACTGGAGTTCCATAACAGGAGCCAACAGCCTCTCGCTTTCATTTCAACTATTGAACCACTTGCCCGACTGGGAAAGTGAAAAATAACTATACACTTGACTCTTGACTTCCTGACTGACTGCAGTTTTGTGCTTAGTTATCAGTTTTGTCTTTAATGAACTTCCATACATTTAGCAGTCTTACAAACCAAAAATCACTCTGTGTGTTAACTGACTCTTGTGTGTTTCTGTCTGTCTCTCAGGAGGTGGTAAGGAATGAGATCCAGGTGATGAACCAGCTGAACCACGCCAACCTCATCCAGCTGTACGCCGCCTTTGAGTCACGCCATGACATCATCCTGGTCATGGAATAGTACGTCCGGGTACCTGCATGCATGTGGGCATACAGTATGCATTTTCATTTGTCAATAAAACGAAGTTACAAGCTCTTTGTTGCTGTAATTGTGTGTGTGTGTGTGTGTGTGTGTGTGTGTGTGTGTCTGTGCCCTAGTGTGGAGGGAGGCGAGCTGTTTGACCGCATCATTGATGAGAACTACAACCTGACAGAGCTGGACACGGTGCTGTTTATACGCCAGATCTGTGAAGGGCTGCAGTACATGCATAAGATGTACATCCTACATCTTGACCTCAAGGTAACCCCTGCTTCAATTAGAGTTCTCATGTTATCACAGTCAGTAATATCTTCTCATTTTACTGTCATATTGATAAATGTACAAGTTTTTCTCATTGCCATGTACCCCCATCTTTAAGTTAACTATTTTCATTGAAAACCTCACTAAAATGTTGTTACCATTATTTAAATACTCTATTTGTGTATAGTTCTAACTACTGTAAATACTCCACTGCAGCTTCTTACTAGGATTAAACACAGTAAAGAAATTGTTAAGACAAGATGATCTAACCTTAAAAAAATTGACTTATTATCTATCTGACTATATATCTATATCTGACTTATGTGTACTTCTGTCTAAAGGACAGTACAGAAAACCAGAGATTTATCTCTAATGGTTCTCTTTTGTTCTTTTTCAGCCAGAGAACATTCTTTGTGTCAGCAGAGCCACTAACAAGATTAAAATCATTGACTTTGGCCTGGCCAGGAGGTAAAACTCCTCATCTATTTACAGTTAAAAGCTTTCATAACAGGGCCTGAGATATAACTCTTATCTTTCTGCTTTTGTGTCTCCAACAGGTATAAACCCAGAGAGAAGCTGAGGGTCAACTTTGGAACGCCTGAATTTTTAGCTCCTGAAGTCATCAACTATGAGTTTGTTTCATTCCCCACAGACATGTGGAGCCTTGGCGTAATCACTTACATGCTGTGAGTTGTGCATGCCCATTCACACACACACACACACACACACACACACACACAAACATAAAAACAAACACACAGTAGCATTCCTGACCTGTGTTTTCCTCCTGGTCCAGGCTCAGTGGCTTGTCTCCGTTTCTGGGGGACGACGACAACGAGACGCTGAACAACATCCTGGCCTGTCAGTGGAACTTTGAGGAAGAGGAGTTTACGGACATCTCTGACGAGGCCAAAGACTTCATCACCCTTCTGCTGGTGAAGAGCAAGAGCTGGAGGATGAGCGCAGCAGAGTCCCTCAGACACCCCTGGCTGTCAGACCGGAGTCTGCACTATCGACTAAATCAGAAGGTAATAACTGGCATTTGGTTTTTAAGATGCACTGTTAAACAGCTGGCCAATCGGAGCTCTTGTTTCTCCTCTCTGTGGGTTCATTTTTAGTTGGCACACTACCGATTTCAGCTAACCGTTAGGTAGACACATTTGCAAAACTGCAACATAAACAAACAAATATAAAAGCTTTTTTTCAAAAAGAATTTTGGGATTCTGTTCAGAATGCATTTATTTAGTTCATTTTTATTTTTTTAAGTATTTTTTATAAATATAAAAGCTTTAAAAAAACTTTAGTCAAGAGGTAACAGGACATAGGTCAGGAGAGAGAAGAGGGAACACTGAGATGTCAGTGTCTTAGTCCCTTAGGCCAGCAGGAAACCCGCAACATTAAATGTTTAGGGAATCCTTTAAATAGAAATTAATTTATTCCAGCGGTTCACAGACCGTGAGGCAGGCCCTCCCAATGGGTCACAGAGCCACTGCAGGGTGGGCATTGAAGGGATTTACATTGTGGGAATGTGATCATTGTGATCTTTATTTCAATAACAGTCAACTTAGATCCTTTTTTATTAGTTGCTTACCCTAACATACTATTACTATTACTATTACTATTCTACAGGGGTGCATGTCAGAAAAAGTTTGAGAACCACTAAATTAATTCATTTAGAACTATTTTTTCTATTGATCAGTTGATTATGATGTTTGTAACTGGTGTGTTAGTGTAGACGCCACATCTCAGGCCTGTTTTAATTAAGAGCATGGAAGTTCATTCTCGACCTGCGAAGCAATATGACAAAAATATCAAAATCTTGTATTGACAGACTCACAAACCAGTGTTTATACAAGTGTTTGTTCCAGTGCCCTAATTGGAGTCCTCTCTCATTGCAGAAAAACAAGTGCCACTCCACACATGCTCCTTCTCCAGAGAGCTCGACAGGTAAGATTCTCCTTAGCAAACATAAGAATTGATTCATTCTCAATCTTATTCATACTTAAAATGAACTTGAAGCCTAAAATCTGCCTTTTTCTTCTGTTTACCTCCTAGAAACACTGTGAGGCCCTCAGCATGCCTTTTGACAATGTAGGGCCCTGGAGCCCAACACTGGACCAATGCTGCTGTACCTGTATACTGGATAACTACTCTCTGCTTCGCATCCTCCCATTCGCTTAGCTCCGCGGCTTGTAGTTCTGGTCTGAATGGTGATAGAGAGCCCCGCAGGGAAAAAGAACAGACATTTGTTAACGCTGCCTTCAAGGCACAAACCACCTGCTAGCATGGTTACCGTCCTGTAGAGCACACGACCTCCGACTGAACCAGTGAGGACTCTCTAGCTATATGGTGGTGTGTAGTTTCTGTTGCAGGTAAAATAACCACCTGTATCACAATGGGGAATCCAAAATATTAGAGACTAAAAGCCTGAATTACTTGTCACTTCTACAACTTCCACATGAATCCCTGAAAATCAGCAGTTTAGCATCAAACAGACTCCTGTTTGCCAGTGATCAGTCTGTCATGTTGTCCTGGTATGTTGCATGCTTTGCACTTTTTGGCCTATTTCTTCGAGATTTAGCAAACAACGTTAAACAAAATATAGACTGAATGCTATTATTTTAATAATATATTTTTGTGAATACAGATTTCTTTCTTTCTTTTAATTTACAAGTCTTATGAAAATGTTATTATTTCTCGAACATAAGGTAAAAATATATGTAGAACTCGGTTGAAGTTGATTTCACACCACATTAATTTATTTTGTATATAACACAACACTGCATACTCTCATTCCCCTGAAAAGTGAGAACATCTCAATGACTGAATACTTCCCTGTCCGTGTCAAATTCAGCCCTCATCTCTGGTACATTTTCACTGTAGACTGGATTTCCTTCTGTATGCGTTAATGCCACTAGCTCGCCTTTGCTTCGGCAGTTTGGAGTAGCCCTCTCACCTTCCATGAAGGCATAACGAACAACAGAATACTACCTATGAATGATTCATGTTTATGACTGAAGTGGATTCTTATGTTCATTCATTTACTGGTTCAACACCAGACTGTACTTGAAGTGCAAAGCTTTTATTCAAGATGGGATTTTATTTTCAGGGGAGACAAACAGGATTTCACTTAGTTATGCACATACTGTGTGGATGCACAGTTCAGCTTGATGGAGAGCCAACAACAGAGCGGAGGAGACACCAGTCAGTGCTTTATTGTCCCATTCTGCCTCAGAGATGGGAAGTTTGGATAAATTTCCGTCACTCAGTTGTTGGCTGTTCCATTTGGAAATGGAAAAGCTTTGTGATTTTGAATACTTGTTTAATTGAATTTGTGATACTTTTTTTTCAAGTTTTCTTGGTTAATGATAAGACATAAATTTATGTAGAATATAAATAAGCAAATAAATAAATCACACTAGAAAACATTTGCACTTTTTCTCACAGTGTATTTCTTTGTGTGTGATGTTGTGAGTATATACGAAAAATGTACATGTATACTGAGAGTAATACTGACTTAATACGTAGGCCTATCCACATTTTGAAGTGTATATTAGGTAGATTATGTTTCATATTCCCGTATGTTCACACTAGAATTTTTTATTAGTTTTCATTCTTCAGTTACAGTTAGTTTCCAGAGTCGGTTTGCTTGTTTTAGTTTAGTTTTGATTAGTTCCACCTTAGTTAGTTTATTATAATAATATGGGAGTATTTGTCAGAATAGGTATTACAATACAAACACATTAACTCATGTGGACATCCCAGTCTCAATAAACATTTGCACAAATTTGACAAAATTGACTAAAACTAAAGACATTTTCTGTATATTTTAATTTCACTTTGGTAAGTTATGCTATACAAAAGCCTTGAAGATAAGAAGAAAAGCTGAAATCTGCACACATAAATTGCCAAACGCAGCAAAAGAAATATTTGGAAATCATGTTCCAAAGGCAATAATAAAACTTCCTGTTTGGGCATCTTACCTCTAGAATAAAACTGGAAAATGAAAAAACTGGCATAATCAACATATGGATTAAATGAAAGCACAAAGTTTTTGGAAGTCAGGAAGAGCAGTATTCCTGCTTGTCCTGGCCTTTCTGTCGAAGATTCAAACCTCATTTAACAACTGAGCTCCAAACTACGTTCCCCTCAGTATCATTCACCTGGAAAAACAAACACCTCTTTGTGTACAGTGCGGGATTTTTGCCTGTTTTGGAGAGACAAAGAGAGTGTATGAAAGAGAAGACAACTAATGTGGGTCAAAGCAGAAATTCTTGGAGAGGAATATGAGGGCATTTCTCTCATCACCTGATATGCTGAGGCAGACAGTTCCAGTCAGCTTCCCCCCATAAACATACAACAGAACAGACTATAGTTCTGGGTTCACAGACATACATATATATACTACATGGGGACATTTTCACATCCATTAAAATATCAGATTGCTGTCTCACAATGAGCTTCATTTATCAGTGCAAATCAAACCTTTGAAGCAACCGAGGGGCTCTGGGAACAGGGAGAGAACAGGAAATCCAGCTTCAACCAAAATTCAATTAGTTAACATAAATAATTTCACAACCTCATCTCAATTAAATCTCCAAGCTCTGTTTATTTCTGTCTGATGTTTCAGTAAAATACACACAGACACATTCTTTCTCTTCAGTTGTAATGGAATAAGGAGTATGGGATTAGAAGCAAATGGGACACAAGGATATTCACGACTTGAGCACTTACATACTAAAAGATTGACAGTGAAGGCCATAGCATATAATTGTCATCATTTTTATACACATCAAGCTGTTCAATGAGCCCTTGTGTCCTGTGGATGGGGCCCTTTCACCCTGAAGGAGACCGCTCCAATCAGGAGAGAAATATTTTATTATATATATAAATAAGTTACTCTGAAGTTTGCCTCTTGTCATTTTAAACAAACTCATAGTCAGCTAGGCCTCAGCTCTGCAATAGCATCTGTACTTATTGTTTCTCTATTTAATTATTGCATTTTTCCCTTTAATTGTCCCTCAAGTCTACATACATCTGCAAACGAGTACATTAGCTAAGTCGATAACTTTTTAAGTACAAATTTACAAATTACATTTTATATGCAACTTTTACCTCTTCTACTCCACTACATCTCAGAGGCAAACAATGTACTTTCTACTCCACTACATTTATCTGTCAGCTTTAGTTACTAGTTACTTTCATGCTTTTTCATTCCTGGCAAGAGCAAACCACGTATCTCCTATCTATCAATTTCTGAGTATGACTTTTTCTGACAAACTGAAGAATTGTTTCAGTTCTCCTACTAATATATATTAGCAGGCAAATGCATGGTCACAAAGCTGAAAACAAGGCTGTTTTTCTGAGCTCATGAAAAGTTGACTTTCGGAGATATGTGGTTCTCACAGGAAAGCCACACAACAAACATATGATGATCTTATAGAATATAATTCTCTGCTGTAGATTGAACAACCCAACGCTATTTAAAGTAGTTAAAATAAGTTCTCCAGCAGTAAAACATACACATAAATGCAGCGGTAATATAGTAAATAGTACTTTTACTTAAATAAAGGATCTGAATGCTTCTTTCACCATGCTTCCATCAAAGTTCAAGACAAAGAAACCCAGCATGTTGTACAAGAGCTTATGATGGTAAACATAGCTGCGGGGTGTCAAGGTGTGTCACATCTACACGACTGGAAAGTTGTAGGTCTCGGTTTTGCACAAAGAAACCAGGAAGGGGAGCCATTTTTCTTTGTGTTACCAGAGACCCATTTGAGAAACGTACTTTTCCGCAGTGTGTTTGTGGATTCAGTCTGTCTCGTGGACTCTTAGTAGGGGTGGGTGAATGCCGAGAGAGACATCAGCTTGGTGAAGAACCAAAGTGTAACTACCGGATTGATTGCTAGCTGCTCTATGAGAGTGACCTTCCATCTGCTGTTCTCTCAGTTGAACTTAACCCTGCACTCTTTAGTTCCTGCACACACAACACGTGTGAAGGATGAAGGTTTCTGCACAGCAGTGGACGCACAGTGAGAGTCGAATACCTCGAAACACACAGCGAGACACCTGCCGTCCAAACAAGAGAAGAGAAGAAGAAGAGCCCCGAGCTGTAACAGAGCTGTGTGTTGTTCTCTTTTGATCAGGCGGGGTGGATGAGCAGACTGCTGTGTTTCTCAGGACCCCAGGCACTTGCTTTTTTTCTTTTTATACGATGATGTTTTCTTTAGACTGTAATGAAATCACACCTCCCATCATGCTGTGCGCTCTGGGAAGTCGAGCAGTGAGAGAGTGCTTTCACAGCGCTACTGACACTCTCAGCTGGAGCAGATGTTGTGATACACGCTCAAATGTACAAGAATAATAAGAGATTAGGAGATGCTCTGAACGTTTGATCGCTCCTGTGTCTCAAGTGATGTGAAATGAATTCCTCTGTCAGGGTCGATATATCAAGCTCCTGAAATTGTGTTGATTTTGGCATACTGACAGGTCAATTCTGTAATAAAAGTAACCACTCAAACCCAGATTTTCCTCTTAAATTTCGCCCAAAATAAAGTTAGAAAAACAACCCTTCCCACTCTTTATGGGAGTATCATATGCAGCATATTCTGTATTTGGTTCTTACGACACCTAAATAGTGTGACTTCTGGAAGCTTTCACACAGAAACAGGAACATTTCTAACCTGCTCTAATTCACTAACTTTTGACACTACACACTCAAATCTCCCACAGCCCCTCCAGCAGGGTCTCCTCTCTCTTACTGTATAACCTTGGTGATATAAGAATTATGGTCTTTGGACTAGAAGCAGGAGTATGAGAGGTGGGTGCCATGCCATTTTTCCTTCAACCCAACAGTCTGAAAAATGTCTGATTGAAGTAAAAGCCTGTTTGTCCAACAGTGTCTTATTCTTAAAAAACAAACAGCCATTGTTCCAAAAATACACACTCTGTTATCATCAACGTATGTTTGTAACTTAACTGATATGACTAACATACTTTTTTTTACCCAGACCATGATCTTTTCCTAAACCTAACCAAACGATGTCCAAATACACAGCGGACATTTTTCAGATTGTTGGGTTTTACAATGGGCAGTCCTCCGAGAGGTCCGCCTCCGCTAAAATCTCCATGAAATGAACTCTCTGAGCCAGAAGTCATACAACGGTTACTATCACCATGCAGTTTGCACACACACACACACACACACACACCACACACACACACACACACACACACACACACACACACACACAAGCATTTTTCAAGTCTCATTCTTCAGCTAGAAACTCCATTCAAACTTTAAAATGTTCCATATTGTTCATACATTATGAGTTTTGTTCAACTTTTAAATCCTATTTGTATTATTTGGAAATATCCCCCACTTTCCCAACTCTTCATACTCATTCACACCTCCTTACACTACAACTATATCTTCTTAACTTGTATCTCTTCATTTATCCTTTAAGCCAGAAACTCCATTCAAACCTGAATATGTTCCACATCTTTCATACATTATGACTTTTATTCAACTTTTAAATCTCATTCATAATTAGAACCTTTCCCACTTGTCCAACTCCTTAAGCTGCTTCTTCATGTACAATTGAAAGTAATTGAGATTAGTGTTAGCTTTTTTTTAGCAGACCTTTAAATATTCCACACCATTCATACATTATTGATATTATTCAACTTTTAAACCGACAATGCAGTTTAGCTCCAGCTTTTCATCATCCAGCATTCACACTGCAATTTCTTCAAAAATTGAGTCGGCCAGGTGGGAACCCGATACTTTGCGACTCTGACTCTGAATGGCAAAAGATGGCAGCAACTGTATTGTACAGCGGGAAGAAGAGGAGATGTGATGTGCATCTTCTATATGTTGATGGTTGAAGCTATGATATTTGCAGTTTGTTGATTGCATTGCCAAACCCGAGGCGCTTCAGTATTGTAACACATGGAAACATTGTCCTTTTTTATCATTATACACACATTTCTTTCATGTTTTCAAGCAGACAAATTTGGTATTTTTTGTTTTACCAAAGTAAGAAATAAGGAACAATGCATTCCCACCAATCTGTGACAGAGGAGGACATTTTGAATTTAGAGTATTTGTTCCTCTAGCAGTGACACTCATTCAACAAGAATAATGTTTACAAAGTGGTGATCCACTGTTGCTTAGATATGAAACCAACCAATCCTTCTCTGAATTGTTTGACAAGGAGGTTTACTGAACCATATTTACTCAAAACGTTGGCAGGGTAATTATGTTTTATTGTTTATGGTATTTGGCATATTTATTTTATGGGATTTGACTGCTGTGAAAACGACTACATATTCAGAAACATTACTGAGTATGCACACACCCGAACACAAACAGAGAAATGTCCTCTCAGCTTGCAGCAAGTGAATTTAAAGCCAGAAAGCTGAGAAATCAAAGCTGAGAACATGTTCCCAGTGGTAAATAAAACTGATTTTGGTCTTCACATGACACTTCTTTGCAGATGCCTGTTGTATATAGTTGGATCAAAGATGTCGTTTTTCTCTGGGTGTATAATAACGGATGATAGAATATCCTCCTGTTACTCCTCTTCACTGTTTTGATCCACACATTATTTCACTATTAGACGCTATTTCATATTCAATATTCCATCTCTGTTTATTTATATGACATTATTTCATAATGTCTCTATTCATCTAATGTTGAACTGCAATTTTCTGTACATTTGCTTTTATATTGGCAGTGTTCAAAACTCAAAATGTATTTAATAATACACAATCATGGGATACATGCCAGATTTGCACAACAATTTTTTTTTATATCTTTGACTAATGGCCTAAATTTGCAACAAATATTAATTTAACATTTTAACATGAACATTTTTTAGATACACTGCTTAACAACAAATTTCCTGAACACACATTATTAATATTAGACTTGTGCTTTGTATTCATAGCCCCGTCGATAGCCTATATTTTTCAATTAAACTATACTGCTGTGTATATATTTTTGTCCCGTGCAATTACTTATTCGTACACCATGCCACTACCTCCTGCTGCAACCTGTGCAATGTTACATATCAATCACATCTGTCTTTAAAAAAAAAAAGCTGTACATAGTGTACATTAAACTGTTATTCTATTTTTTCATTATATCTTATATTTTAATATTTTATTTTCTTATTTTAATGTGTCATATCCTTATCTATTGTGTTGTATCTGGAGCTGCTGTAGCGAGTCAATCTTTCCCAGTGTGGCATCAATAAAGTCTATCTTATCTCATCTCATTTTATTTGGAGAAACAAAAGCTTCCTTTCTCTCTCCATCCTGCAGGAGGCGCTGCAGCCAACGACCGCCAGCCCTCACAGTGACTCTACCCTCTTTAATGACGTCTCCCCGGCTCGCTCCTACATGCTCTCTTCCCATTGGCTGCGATCACCGCCGCTTCCTGCTACGTACTACAAATTGCCTCTGTCCAGCTGTGTGTAGTTTCGGGTTTACGGATGCTGAGGAGGCTCGTCGGTTCTCGCACTGTAAACACTCTCGCAGGGTTTTAATCGGTGTGTTTGTTTCCCCCTCCTCCCCCGGTTGTTGTGACAGCAGACTGCAAACATCCCGCCGGTCAGAGATGGCTCAGTGCTCCGAGACTGCCAGCGTTAGCTCCGCGGTTAACGGAGAGCCGAACAAGGAGCGGAAGGTTGCTGTTATCACCGGCATCACCGGACAGGTAACGTTACTCACTCACACCGCAGTACGTCGTGGTGTCTGTGGAGGGGAGGGGGGGGGGTGCCAGGTGCTGAACAGCCAGTGTGTCACTATTGAAGCTCACTTTGCCCTAAAACCTCATCTTCCCTGTCTTTCCCCTCTGCAGCTGGAGCTCTGCTGACTCCCTTATATTCACCTAAAGGAGTTCAATTACAGTGAAGTTGTCCCTGAAGCTGGTGGAGCATCAACATAGATAGAGAGAGAGATAGATAGAGAGATAGAGAGGAAGAGGAATGCAATCATTTCCCATCTCAAACACAAGCTTGCATGCTTCCCCTGCAAGGGAGTTTGTCAAGTTACACACAACCTTGGTGATGTTTGTGCATCAAAACACAGCAAACAGCCAGGGGGGAGCAGGGGGAGGAGGGGGGAGCAGGGGTTTCTGCTCCAGGCAAGCTTTTCTTTGGGTGGCTCTCCTTACTCCTTTTTAGTAAGAGAAGTTAATATCAGCACCTCCTTCCAACCTGCTACCTTGCATAAGGCTGCTGTAGGTTAGATGACTGCACCGACTCACAGGTGCAAAATGACACAGAGAGCAGCAGACCTGGGCTTTAACTACTGAGCTCAGAGACAATAATAATAATGGTAATGATCTTTATTGTCTACAAATGTGGAAATGTGCCTTTGTTGTCATGTAAATCACAGTACAAACAACAATAAATAATAACACAGCATGCTCAGTACAGACAATAATGGATATGGTTCCAGTGGGAGATGTGTTGAATTGAACAAAGTTACTGCATTTACACTTTTTGTAAATGTTCTTGGTTGCTGCAGCTGCTTCACAGCGCCTTCCAGAGGGCAATGTTATCAGACACAGTTTGTCTGGCTTATTGTTTCACTTGCGTTTTGCGTATACATCCCAGTTGTTTCTGCTCTGCTTGCTTCTTCTTTATATAGCTCCAAATCCCAATTAACCTCAGGGGAGCTTAACAATCAAACAGTCAAAGCCCTCTGTCTGTAGAGCCTCAGTTTGGATAAGTGGAGTGCACAGAACAAACCAATAAAATCACATTATATACAACTATTTGTGACGCACCCGCCGGCTGCATGCTACAAACCTGCACCAGTACATTCTGTGTAACTCTCCACACACACAACCTGGACTCTTTATTGCTCCTCTCCTGCAGCCACTGTCTAATCTGGCATTGTGTGAACTGGGCTCGATATCCTCCTTTTGAAAGTTTTTTTTTTTCTGTAATGACGCCTTTACTGATACTAAAACCAATGCATACTGAATGTTTTAGTCCAGCCGTCTTCTTTCCAGTGGTTATACTTTCAATAGTTGATTTTGTTTGGCTACTTGGGTTCAGCAGAAACACTCCTGTATTATCACATTTTAGGTTCATATGGCGATTGTTCGCACACATGGCTAGTTTTTCATATCCAGCAGATTCGGTGCAATGTCAGCTTTCTTTTGGAGTCGTGTTTGTGTCCCCTAATTCCAGAGGGAAATGTTTCCATAGCAGCTAAATGCTCCACTATGGTTACCAGCTAGTTTTAGCCTTTTAGCTGGAAAAATGGAAAACCGAAACAATTTAGTCGAAAGTCGTTATAAAGCTGAGTGGAACTGGAACCAGTCAGAAACGACACCTTTCACATCCTGGTAGTCATTTGATCTGTTGTTTAAAATACTGGTTGTAGTCTCTATAAAGCAATAAGCATGTCTGAGTTCTGTAGTAGGGTCGCTGCCAACTAACGATTACTTTCATTATCGATTAATCTGTCGATTATCTTCTCAATTCATTGGTTAGTTATTTGGGCCATAAATTTGTCGAAATGCTGATGTCCTTAAATGTCTTATTTTGTCCACAACCTAAAGATATTCCGACTACTATCGTAGATGACTAAAAAAAAAAAAAATATTCACATTTGAGAAGCTGAAATCAGAGAATTTGGATATTTATTTCTTATAGTAGAAATAGTTGAACTAATTGAGTAATCGACTACTCGTTGCACACAAGATCGATGACGACGTCTCACCAAGTGTGAAGTGCTTTTCAGAACTTGACTTTCGTTTTAAGATGTCGTGCTGCGAACACAAGTATGTTGCTGTTGAGATAACGTGCCGCTGCCACTGTGGTGTGAAAGATCTGTCACGTTTAAGAAGCAAGCACACTAAACATACCGTTTACCTGACAGACCCTGACCTCTGAACAATGGGCAGAGAGGAGTGGCAGCTTGGCAGAACTGGCCTTACTGGTATTTATGTGCTAAGGGAATAACTTCTACACGGTTCATCACAAGAGCGATGATGATGACAGAGATATTTGCTATGTTTATCTCGTGGCTTTGTTTGCACGTAGGTCGGGGAGTTGTGTCATCATCATGTACAATAGGACTTCATTGATGAAGTCATGATAAACTCTCACCTGAAAGTCAAACATGCCTTTAAGTTCATTTAGTAGTATGGTTGGAGACTGAGGATGAAACATGGTGGTTCAAAATGCCTCTTTTGTGGTTAATGTCAGTTTATAGTTTAATTGATATTACCAAGTAATACATTTGTTTGTAACATACTGTTAATTTCTTAGATATTGGCACATATGCAACAAATTGAAATGGCATACATTAATGTGTCATAGGTTAGATTTTTGTGCTTTATAAGTAATTTTTTTGGCCTTTTTATTGCCTTTATTGATAGGGACAGCCGAAGATAGACAGACAGGAAAGGGGGTTAGAGAGAGAGGGGATGACACGCAGCAAAGGGGCTGCAGGTCGGATTTGAACCTTGGGCCGCTGCAGCAAGGACTCAACCTCAGTACATGGGTCGCCAGCTCTACCCACTGAACTAACCGTGAATGCCGGAAGCAACATCATTCAAACATTTAAATATTTCACTTATAGGTTGCAGAGGTATACCACTACCACGGTATATGGTATGAAAATTGACTGTTATCGTACAGCAGTTAGCATTTGCTATGCTATCGAATTCTCCTCTATTAATGTTATTAAAAAATATAGCAATATTTTGTGAAATTAAAATGATAATAAAGCGTTTGTTCAACCAAAAAAAACCCTGTTACCAAGGCTCACTACTACTACTACTACTACTACAACTAAAACTACTACTAATAATAAATAAAATATAAATAGTATATATTTCCTGAGAGGGTTATCATGAAAATCTCATATGGTTGCAAACTAAATTAGCACATATGACATAAAACTTAACTCGACCATGCCATGATAATAAAGGCATTTTTTAATTCTTTTTAAAAAGATCGTTTGCAAAAGAGTTTTCGTGCAATTACTAATTACTTGGAGGAAAGACACTCAGCTCATATGTATGTAAAGGCATCACTAAACATCACTGGCTGACGTGTCTGAATGTGTATCCTTTTTGTAGTAGTGCTTAAAGAAGAGCATTGCCAGATTCTGGCAGGTCATTTTCATGCAGGGGGAAAAAGCAGAGACTTTTTCACTGAATAAGTCGAAAGTAGTCAGTTGACCGTTCCCAGAATGCAGCACTGGAAAGACAACTATCAGACGTCTTGGAAAGTCATTTTCAACCTCTCACATTCCTCTGTCAAGCAGCACTTTCCAAAGCGTCTTCTCCCCTCGTCATCTTCGGCAGAAAACAAAGAATAACAGTGTTAATTTATTTTTATTCTGCCGGTCATGGTGATGCGGTGGAAGAGAGGGCCCATGCAGGAGGCAGGCAAGCAGGCAGGCATCTGGATAGACCATCTCAGAAGTCACTAGCCAGGGTGTCAGGGTCGCACTGATGCCATAAATCGCCTGGCTAACTACTGTTCATAAATTTTAGGGCAGCATGCTGCTCGGTCTGAATATTTTTGACTGCCGTCTCAGTGTGAAGCATTCGGGTGAGAGGGTGTGAGTTATGGGAGACCACCTGAGTGCCAAGGCAGAGCCGCAGAGCCGGGCAGGGGCTCTGGCTGATAGCACTGTTTTACGATCCGGGGTTATGAAGAGGACAGGTTCGGCCTCTCTGTTCGACAGTAAAACTTTATTTTGGCTGCGAGGTTCAAACTTCTTTCTTCAGCTCCTCTGGTTGGGAAAACAAGGCTTCACTGCGACACGACCCCTCGAAACTGTTTGATGCTCCTGCTGCAAGCCTCTCTTCTTCATCCTTTTGTTGGCGTTTGATACACTCTCATTCCTTCCTCGCCTCCTCGCACCGACTCCACTGTTAGCAGCACGGGGTAGAATCTGAGCGAGTGCCAGCAATAATAATCATAAAGCTAAGAATCCGTGCACACATCTCCGCTGTCGCTCGTAACGGCGGCTGATGGCTCCTCAAAGGCTGATTCCCTCCTCTGAATGAAGTCTGGTAACTGGAGGTTGGACAGGAAGAGATGTATGTTCAGCTGCAGTTTGCAGTAAAAAGCTGATTTTAATTCAGTCAACAAGTGAACTGCATGCTGTCAATGTAACTAAAATAAAAGTACTCAAATAATGTTCTGTATTTAAGTACAATTGATACTTGTGCTTTACTGGAGTATTTCCATTTTATGCAACTTTACACTTGCACTCTACGACACCTACATTATTGTATTTTTGCTCCGACAGCTTTAGTTACTTTTCAGATTGTGATTTTTCATACCCTTCCTGTCTAGTGAAAACCACATATCTCCAAATTTGGTGATCGATTTATTTATTTATTTATTTTTTTTAATGTTTGATCAACTGAAGGATTAAGTGTTTCTTTATTTGCTGAGAAAATTCTCCTTAAGCTAAATAAACTATTTAAAAACCCTCTTGGATTAACTGGGAAATGCATCGTCATAAATCTGAAAACAAGGCTGTTTTTCTGACCTCATGAAAAAAGCTTTTTAGAGATATGTAGTTCTCTCAGGACAGCGACGCTACAATTTTATGATGATCTTATAGAATATGATGCATTGCTGTAGATTAAACTACTAATCAGTATATAAGCTTATTACATCTTACCTGAAGTTTAGTAAGGACAGACATCAGAAGTGAGCTGGTATGGAAAAG